TATTGAGAAACAAATAGCAATGAGACAGTTTCAAACCAAATTGGTAGGACAGTTTCAATAATTAACACATTGCATACATTCTTCCTAGTGGTTAATTGCTATGCAAGATGCGGGCATGATATCCTATTTACAAAGTCTATTAGAACAAATCCCTCTATTCATTAAGAGAATATAACTATATATCCTAACCACTCAAGTGCATTTTAGACAGCCGCATTACAAGTAAGCATTTCATTTGGATAGTTAACTATGTGATCTTTGAGTTTTCTTCTCACTCTTAAAAGGTGTGGGTTTTTAAAATTAGCCTAAGGGGGTCCTGGCCTTAGCTCAGTTGTTTAAGTGGCTGCTTCCACAAAGCAGTCAGCCTCAGGTTGCTGTAGTTCGATGCCCACAACACTACAGCCAGCCAAACTACCCCTCAGGGCACTTAGAGCAAAAAAAATAAATAAATAAAATAAAATTAGCCTAAGGAAAACATAAAAAGTGTACATGAACTATAAAAATTAAATAGTAGTAATTCAAGAATAGGCCAATTTGGAGAAAATTAACATCTTAACAATATTAACTACAAATCTAGAACTTCTTATTTTGTTTTGGGCTTTGTTTGTTTATTTGTTTGTTTGTGGGGGGCGGGACCAGAGATTGAACTCAGGCCCTTATGCTTGCCAGGGAAGCACTTTATTCCACTGAGCCATCTCCCCGGCCCCATACAACTTCTTGTTTTAAACAAAGGCACAAATTTCTGCTGTTCCTATATGTAGGAATAAAGATTCTCAATAGATGATTTAAGATCTTTCCCAGGTGTCATAGACAGTAGAAGTTTTCAGTTTTGTACTAACGGACAAGCCAACTAGCAAAGCATAAGAGTCTGGGAATATCGACATCATTTTTTTTTTTAATTACTTATTTATTACATTTATTTATTGTGTGTGTGTGTGGCCAGCTCAGCCCACTAGGGGGTGGGGCTGGCTGGCATGTGGTGCTGGGGGATCGAACCGCGGTCCCTGTGCTTTGACAAGCTTGTTTCAAGTAGGTGCTTTAGACCACTGAGCCATCTCTCCAGCCCCTATCGACATCATTTTATAAAGTTAATTTCTTCTACTAATTTCATTTTAATTTCTGTTTGTTCTACAGTATTAAGCAAGTAGTAGTATTATTTTTGTCCTGTTATTTTCTGTTACTCTGCACTAACTATAGGTCCCTGGATAGCCTCTTTCTTAAATGTATATTTTGTTCAGTTTCCTCAAATTTTTCTATTGTGTGTTGTGAATGTTTTTTTAATCATTTATTGTAATTTTTACATAATGGAAATGAGTTCTTTGTCTCCTGATGAGGTGAATCTCTTCTCATAAAGTTAACTATTTTTCATGTCAAAAAAAAACTGTATTAACTCCAGGGGCCGGGGAGATGGCTCAGTGGAATAAGAACATCCCTAGCAAGCACGAGGGCCTGAGTTCAATCCCCGGTTCTGAAAAAAAAAAAGAATTAAATCCAAATACAGAGACAAAGTATGAATACATATTTAGGTCTTTCTTAATTTTTCTAGAAATATTTTCTAGTTGTTGAATAGATGCTACACATATTTTATTAAATAATCCCTAAAAATTTAATATTTTTAGATGCTATTCTAAAAGAAATTATTTTAAATTTCATGTTTTATTTTTTGATTATTGACATCTAGGAATAAAATGGATTTTTGCATACTGGTATTTTATTTCATGGATTTTTAAAATTTTTTTTATTTTTTAATACTAAAGACAGCCCACATGCTAGGCAAACATTCTGCCACTAGCATCCTCAGCACTTCATTTTTTAATTATTTTATTTTGAAACAGATTCTTGCAAAATTTCCCAGGCTACCCTCAAATTTAGAATCCTCCTGCCTCAGCTTTCCAAAAAAATAGCTGAGTGTAGAGTTGTACAACCATCCCTAACTTCTTCTTTCTGCTAGGTTTTGTTTGGTTGGTTGGTTGGTTGGTTGATTTTTGGTGTTTTGTTTTGTTTTGTTTTGTTTTGTTTTGTTTTGTTTTGTTTTGTTTGAAAGACAGGGTTTTGCTAAGTAGTTCAGGCTGGTTTAAGCTCTCAGCCAGCCTCCCAAGTGCTGCAATTACAGGCATGTACAACCACACCCTGTGCTTAACGTTTTGAGATGAAATGCCATACTATTTCCACAGCCGGTTCACCATTCTCCATTCCCAACAACTATGAATTAGAGATTCACTTTCTGCACTTTAACAAAACTTTATTTTAATAGTAGCATCCTAATAGTGTAGAGCAGTACCTCATTGTAGTTTTTACTTGTATTTCAGGAGTCAATCAGGAGTCTAATAATTGTTATTGCTGAGCATCTTTTCATCATGATCGTTGGCCATCTGTGTATCTTCTTTGGAGAAATGTCTATTCAAATCCTTAGCCAAATCTTTTTTTTTTTTAGGTCCGATTATCTTTTTGTTGCTGAGTTTTAAGAGTTCTCAATATGATCTGAATGTTATAACCCTTCTCAGACATGAGATTTAAAAGTACTTTCACCCATTTTGTAAAGTTGTCTTTTCACTTTCTTGATAATGTCCTTTGAAGTGTTATTTCTGGTTTTTGGTTTGTTTTTGTTTTTGTACTAGCAACCAAACTCAGGCCTCTGCACTTGCCCAACAGTTTTTCATTAAGTCTACCTTTTTGTTGTTGCTTTCACTTTGATACCATATCTAAGAATTCATTGTCCAAAGAAAGTCATGAAGATTTTTTTCCCTGTTTTCTACTTAGAGTTTTTTTGTTTTGATTCTAGCTTCATTCTTCTGTAGTGTCTGTGTTTTGGTTAGGTGGGTGTTTTATTTTGTTTTGTAGACAGGGTCTCACTATATATTCCAGAGTGGCCTTGAACTCACTATGTACCCAGGTTGGCCTCAAATTTCCATAATCCTCCTGCCTCAACTTCCCAAGTGCTGGGCTTGCAGGCATGCACCACCACAAGCGACATATTCTGTAGCATTGCTGTCCTTACACCAGTAGTGCATTGTGCTGTTTACAGTAGATTTGTAGTTAAATTTTTAAAATGGGAAGTGTATCTTTTTAATTGTGTTCATTTTCAAAGTCTTCTAGCTTTATTATTTTTTTAAATCATATATTTGGTGCCGGCTCTCCCTATGCAGCTCACACTCCTCTGTGCAGTGATACTCCTCTATCTCAGGCTCCCCAGCTCTGGGATCACAGGCGTGTGCCACCATGCTCAGTTTCAGTGGCCTGTGGGTTCCTGGGCTGGCATGGCATACAGTTCCAGGTACTGAACCCAGGTCCTTGCACTTGCCAGGCAGGTGCTTAAACCGCCAAGCTAGCTCCCCAGCCTAAGTTTTCCAGTCTTCCCAGTTAGTCTCAAACTTGTAAGGATCTTTCTGCCTCAGCCTCCCAAGTGCTGGGATTACAGGAGTGCATCACCATGCCCAGCTAAATCAGTCTTAACAAAGATGTATTTACATTTACTTAGGTTGTCATTGACTTCTTTTGCAGTTTGTCTTTAGATTTGTCTGTTTCCCTTAAATTCCACCAGGTTTTTATAATATTTGGATATAAGGCAATTTATATTTTTTTA